CTTTTCAGCATCTCCTCAGGAAATATTCCCCATCTGTGGAGCTGTGGAAAGCGGCACCCACCCGGAGAGGGCTCTCCTTGATCATCTTCACCTCTCATCCATCATTTTTTTACTGAAATTAAACCCTTCTGAACTCACATTGCCTTGAAGGGTTTGCCTGCCTCAGCAGGTGGCAGTTTTGGGACGTTTCAGGTAGATTTTGCATCATTTAGGACAAACTTTTAAGGTTTGTGAGCCTTACCCAGTTTTCAAGCAGGTGATCTCTCTTCACTCTGAGGGCGTACAGCCCTAAAAACACCCCCTRATTTTGGGATACCAGTGAGTGAAAAGGGTCAGAACAGCCCTAGATCCCATTCCTGGAGCTGTCGGTGTGTCACCATCATTACCAGGCTCTGAAATGACACAGTTTACAGCCACAGCACCAAACACCTGCAGGGAAACTCCTCGGGCCAAATTCCCAAATTCCCCTCGCTCCAATCAGGATTTTTCGGGAGCAGGGACCGCTGGCTGCGCTCAGGGCGATCCTGGCTGAAGAGGCWCTTCTCATCGACTGCTAAGAGACTTATTAGCAATGTAAAAAGGAACTGGAGGCAAGGAAAGCATTCTTCCCGGCAGAAATGGGCTTTGTAAAATTAATTTTGCTGACAGGAGTAATCGGGTTAAACTCCTCGTGGCTGTGGGTGCCGCTTGCTGCCCCTTATCTTCCCGAAGCAAAGGGTACTGAACACTTTGAACTTTGTAAATAATTGTTTCCAAAGTGTTGGTTTTGTCTTTTTCTCTCTATAAATACTTTAGAGAAAAGCTGGTTTCTAATCCTTTCYCTGCCAATGCTTTAACAGCCTCTTCCCACTCCAGATTTCTTTTCCCTCTCTGGATTTTAATATTTCTTAGATATTATAAGAATCTCTTTTCAGCGGGAGTGAAGAGGTTTTGCTCAGATTGGGGAAGTCATTCCTTGAGCTTTATGAAACTGAGGAGAGAGAGAAAACTATCAAATAGAAGCACTTTATTCTGCACCATGGCAGAATTTGGGCTGTGGTGTGGAGATGTGGTCAGAGCCTGACCAGTGTCCAGAGCAAGCTCCTGGATTCAGTCTGGCTGATTTTTCTCGCTCAGATTCCTCAACAGGGAAGGGGTTAGACCTTTGCTGGTTGTTCTTTTCATCTGGGCTGAACCAGAGAAGGGATTTGCTGCTCCCTCCTCATCCCCACCCTGCCCTTGCTCTCTGTTCCTCCTGTGCCAAGGAGAGGGGCATCTTTTCCTTGCAAACACCTTTTTGTTCTCAGTTTTATTTCTCTTTTTTATTTACGGTAGCAAATATTAATACAGAAACAGGACAGAAACAGTCCCAGAGTGTGCAGTGACAGAGCCTGCAGGAAACCCATAGATCTATAAAAACTCAGACTCACCCGTGGATGTGGGAAAACTGAAATGCTGGAAAAGCAAGACTTTATTTTCTCTGAGGTGGGACTGGAGAGCAAAYTGCTCCTGAGGTTGTGCCAGCACAATTCCCTCCTGAGGTGTAAAACTATTCTACATTTGTTCAACCAGTCCCCAGTTAACTCRGCTCTTCTCAGTTACAACTTTGCTCTCATTCTTACACCTTCCTTTTTTCCTTTTTCTATTTAATTCCTTCATCTCTTCTCCAACACCCTGATGGATGTGTTTGGTCCAGTTCCAGCCAGGGTGCAAAGCTGAGCATCCACAGCCACCACACTCTTGCTCTGTGCAATTTTCCAAATGTTGCTGTCTTCCAAAAATTCAGATTAATGGGATTTTGAGGAATATGACTTTATCCTGCCCACAACACCATGGCAAATTCGGAGTATGCCAATGAAGCAATAATTAGCTAGAAATAGTATTGTCCTTCTGTCACCCTAAACATGTAAATTTAAAAATGCATCCTCAGTGTTCACCCACCAGAATATCCACTTTATTTGTGTCAAAACYTTTTCATGACACTGAACCAAAAATTATGTGTCTTTGAAGGAATTTTGTGACGTGGTTACAAACATCAACAGAAAGTTTCTAACACGATGAATTCCAGAGGATAGTTTTGTGAATTTTGCAATTGTAATCCTGGAATTTCTTCCCCTTACAGCTTTTCAGAAAGTGGAATTTTTTTTAAAAAATAAACCCCATAAAAAATGCAGCTGGGTGTTTTTCTAGGTAAAATAGTGAGCAGAGGCTCAGAAATGTGGGTGATTTGATTTTGTGGATGTGGTGGAATTGGGTCGAAGGATGTAATGGATGATTCTGGAGATCTTTTCCAAAATTTAAAAATTTTGTGGTGAGAATTACAGAGGTTCAGGGTAGCAAACGCCTCGTGGAGCTACTCTGACTAAAGAAAAAGTAATGTTCAGTGTTACTTTTGATTCCAAAATTGTATTTAATCTCCATGTAGAAGCAGAGCTGAGGAAAAAGCACAGCATTGACAGTTAATATTTTTATGCTTTTTTTTTTTTTCCTTAGGAATCAATTCTCCCCTTTTTGAAGGGATAAAGTGAAGTGGGAATGGGGCTGCTCAGTG